CGCCCAAGGAGGGGGTCACCCATCCTAGAATTGCTCCAAGCCAAGCACGCTTAACTTTGGAGTTTCTAAGTGATGAGCTCTCAAAAAAATGCACCTTATTGGTATGAGTAGTACTATCAATCCTTTTGAGCCTTTTTTCTTTCCCCCAATCCATCTATTTTCAAATCAGGTATTATATTCACCCCCACTTAGGATTGCAACGTCCTCGTTGCAACTTTTTTTGTGTGTAAAGGATCATTTTAATCATTTATCAAAAAACTTCCTCTTTTTCACATGTTTTGATGACTTAATCATTTTACCTCATATCTAAATGATTAACACATTAATCTTGTAATATTTACTTTAAATTCTTATAGGCTAACATAATTTCTTTTTTTTTGTTATATTAAGATAGTCTTTAACAAAATTTATTCTTAACAATTTTTTATTTTTTAAAAGAAATTATATTACCCTTTTTTCCACATTACCTCATGTTGTCATTTTAGTGATTAATGAAATCATTGAATATTAGAAAAACTATTACTCCCTCCGTCCGGAAATAATCTTCCCGTTTCTCTTTTTTCCCCGTTTGGAAATAATCTTCCCATTTCTAATTTTACCCACAATCCTTCCAAAAATACCCTTATCTCTCAAACTCCCTAGATCTACCCTCCGTCCCTTCCCGTCCCCCACCCTTTTCTCTCTTCTCAATTTTTTTCTTTCTTTCTTTCTTTCTTCTTCTTCTTTCTCTTTCTCTCTTCCTCTTCCCCACTGCATCTCTTCTTCTCTTCTTTTCCTCCCTCTGTTTTTCTTCTTCTTTCTCTTTCTCTCTTCCTCTTCCCCCGTCCATCTTCTCTTCTCTTCTCTTCCCCCCTCTGTTTTTCTTCTTCTTTTTCTCCCCTTTCTTATATCTCTTCCATCTTCTAGATCTGAGCATGGCGGCGGCGATTGTGACAGTGATGGCGGCGGCGATGGGGACGGTGACGGCGGTGGTGATGTGAGTCTAGATCTGCATTTCTTCGTCTTTTTCTTCTTCATCTTCTTTTAGATCTGCACCACGATGGTGGGGTAGGTGGGGCTGGAGGTGAACGTGGGGCTGCCGCCGATGGTGAGGCTGCCGGCGGTAGTGGAGTGGCGGCGATGGTGAGGAGAAATGAGATGTGGTGTGACAGGCGGCAAAGGAGGGGCTGGGGGCAACGCTTGGACAGGGGCTGGTAAGGAAGGAGAGGGAGGGTATTTTAGGAAAATTACACTCAAAGTCAACCCTTCAAAAAAATGAAGAAAAGTCCAAATGGGAAGATTTTTCCCGGACGGAGGGAGTATATTCTTTTTTAGAAACACATACTTCAAAGTTTTTTCCCAATTTGTTTAGTAATGGACGGAACAATCAACCTTTTTTTCATTTTAATTTTAAAAGGTTGGTTATGGACAGTTAACAATATAGTCTAACAAATTAAATTTCAAAATCTTCATCATAGTTTTTTTTCTCTTTCTTTTTCGATATAAAAGACAATGTTTAACACATTTATTTTTTTTAAAACCAACTATAGTCTATCTATCATTATTAGATTTTTTTATTGTCATTCTCTTTTATTTTTGTGGAATCAATTACGGAGTATTACTTTAAATTTTAGCAACCCATCTCAAAAGTGATTGTTTAGAATACTTGGTGACGTTTTTTTCGAAGTGGCCTCCGTGACTAGTGAGCACGTGAGGCAATATATATTTTTTTGTAACATGATCGTACTAGTCGTCATGGATAATTGAGAATTATGACTTAGGGCTCGTTTGGTGAGTTTTGAAGATATAAGATATGAGTTTTTAAAATTTGAGAGAAATGATATGAGTTTCGAAATCTGACTAGAAAGTGTTTGGTGAGAAAGACATACTACATACATGGGTAGCGATTATGAATAGAAGCAAAACAGAGACCAATCCACCGCTGGGGACTTCATCAAATTTTGTTGCAGATGAACGCATAGGAAACTAAGCGGTGAGCATGGATTATGAATAGAAAACATACTCCTCAGCCGTCATTGTCAATGATCCAGATCCGCTCTGCTAGAGACACAGCTTTTCTATTGCTCCATGGGAAGGAGACATAGAGTTGGATGCGAAGATAAGAGGATTTTGATTGTTGAGACAGAGTTTTCCCATCTTTATCTCCTTTGATTTTGATAACACCGTCTTTCTCGTTTTCGATAGCGGTGAATTAAGGTTAGAGATTTCCCATATCTCTAGCTTTCAAAATTGAATTCCTTTTTAGTTCACCAAACACCAAAATTAGGACTTTGATATTAGAGATATCAAAATCCATATTTCTTTTCCTTCTCACCAAATACACCCTTAATTTATGATTCACCCTCTAAATTCATTACACATAAGTATTTCTTTATATATCTTAATAAACCAACCAATAACTAAATATTAAAGACAACAATAAATTATCACATAAGCAATAATACATATTCAGAGTTACCTTCCAGAGCAGTGATGTCACGAAGTTGTGGATGCCCGACACATGTATATATAGTACGAGTTAAAATATAAAGTTTTTTTTTAAATACCCTTCTTTTTTCATAAAAACTACTCCCTCCGTCCGGGAATAAACTTCTTACTTTGACTTTTCCTCATTTTTAGTGGGTGTTGAATATGGGTGTAATTTGTCTAAAATATCCTCCCCTTTCTTTCCCAGCCCTGCCACCATCAAGAACCCACCACAGCCTCCACCTAGCCCCTCCCCTCCTCGCCTCCAGCCCTGCCGTTGCCGTAATCGCTCCACTCTCACCATCACATTCATAGCCCTACCATTAGATCTCAAAGAAATAAAGAATTATAAGAAAGAAATTAAAAAAAAGATTAGAAGAAGATTGCAGATCTAGGCTTACCACGGACGCATCCTCACCATCGCCGCCCCCTACCATCGGCGCCACCCTTACCAGCAACGCCACCCTATAATAGAAAGAAGGAAGAGAAAAAAGAAAAAGAAGAAAAAGGAGAAGTGGAGATCTACACTCGCCATCATCCCCGCTAACACCATCGTCGGCGCCACCATTGCTGCTGCCACCATCGCTGCCAAGCTCAGATATGGAAGAGAGATGAGAGAAATAAGAGGAGATAAAGAAGGGAAAAGAAGAAGGGGAAAGGTGAAGAAGAGGAGATGACGGAGGAAGAGAGAGGAGGAGAAAGAAGAAGAAAAAAGAAAATTGAGTGGAGGAGAGGAGAGGAGGATGAGATGACGGAGGAAGAGAGGAGAAAGAAAGAAACGAAAAAAGAAGAAAAAGTGGATGGGAGGAGAGACGGCAGAAGAAAAAGAAAAGAGTGGGGTATTATTAGAAGGCTAATTTAGGAAGAATTGGTATAAAATAGTAGAATGAGAAGATTATTTTCGGACGAAAAAAAAAGTAGAGTAGGAAGTTTATTCCCGGACGGAGGGAGTAACATTATAGTATTATTTTTTAAAAAAAATAATCATCTGACCAATAGTGGCCCCAAAAATTGTTTGTAAAACCACATGCTCTGACACCAAAATGTAGCACCCCAACCCGCGTAACCCGAACCAACAGGTTAGCAAACCGAGTTATTACTAAATTGGTATTTGCATGCGTAAATTTTTTTAAAAAACATTTAAATAAATTCAACATCCATCCATAAAAGTTTAATCTTAACCAAAAGTTTATCAGAGTAATAAAAATATAAGTTCAAACTTCGCGGAAGCTTAAGGGAAAACCAAATAATCTCCGAACAGTCCATTTAGTGAGACGAATAAAAATGCAATTTAAATAATAAGGAAAAACTTTGGGCCATCCATGCTACACCGCATCACTGCCCTCCGGGTTGCTCATCCAATCCTAGGTTCCTATATGTGGGCAGTCAAAACAACAACAACTACACGCTCAGTTGAAAACTGAGTGAGAATAAACCTAACGCCAGAAATAACTCACATAATAGTACAACATTAGCAAGCATTCAAACAATATCATGTAACCAATTGTAGCGTTAATGATATCCTATTTAATCCAATAGTCGTCTTATTCTTCTATTCCCGGCTCTTAACCTATGACGGCTAAGGCTTTTTTCTTCTATTTATGAGTCGTGGCACCCCCAAGCAACGCTATAAAAGGTTCAGCTCAGAAACTCAAAGGAGATTCACTTTGAGCGGGTTGAAGCCCATGTCTCTGCGATGCCAAGACAGTTCAAGGACTCCCGTACGTACGTTTTTAGCCCAAGACCACCAAACGTGCGACGGCACCCGCATGGCCTAACGCCTAACTAATTTCTATTTGTGATTCCATTGGTCAATTCAGTTCAGATCCGCTTAATTAAACTAGGTAGCCTTATTTCTAAACATTATTTCTCAATAAATAGTTTGTCAACAAACAGATTAATCAATTTCAAATCAAAATTCATGAGAAGTAAATATAACAACTAGCGGCCTGTCGAGAACCCGAGAGCCCACCGATTACCATCATGCAGAATCAAACGATCCAATACGCAGTAACCCAACTTACCGGCGCGAACTCGGGACCAAGGAATCAATCCAGGGGCCCGCTACCCCCGCCGGAGTAGTTACCATCGTAACCGTACCAACCCTGGTACCCCCACCGGCAGCTGACCCGGCTGCCCGGCCCCAGTACCCGACCAAACAGCCATGTTTGGGTACACTCAACCACCCAAACAGCCCCAAACAGACCCAATTGCATCAATTTGGAATCAAACAGACCAGATTACATCCAATTGCACCCAAATGGACCCGATTGAACCCAAGGGAACCAATTGGACCCAATTGAACCCAATTGGTTTTCCCCAAGACCAACCCCAGACACTGCCGGCGCTGGCTAAACCGCCTCCCCACACAGCCGGCGTGTTGCCGGAAATCCGTCGGAAAACAGCCCAGATTTCAACTCACAACATTTTCAATAAAAAAACAACCAAATTCACAATCAATGCAAAGAATATACGCTAAGAGAGTTCTAACATACGAATTAACACTAACGGAAGGTATAGAAACCACAACTCACCTCAAAAATTGAAGAAATAGAAACCTTAGATTTACAGAGGGTTGACGCGCGCGAGTAGAAACGTGGAGGGAGAGAGAGAGAGAGACGGCGGTGGTTCCCTAGCGACGGAGGTTGGCGGCGTGGGCTCCCTTGTCGCCTCTCGTCGTCTGTGAGCCGTGCAGGCTAAACAACGAGCAGGGTGGAAGAAACGGACGAACAGAGAAGGAAAGAATGCGTCGTGCGACCAACTAAATCCCCTGCAAGTTTTTATACTCCAGTCCACAAATAAACTTTACATTAGCTCAAATCTAATGTAAAGTATGGACGGACGAAGTATAATTAAATGGGCAAGGTTCCCATAGAACCAAATGGGATCTCCGGGGGCGCTCCACTGCCCCGTTCATAAAATTAACGGTTTCTACCCCCATAACCCCTCCGGTAAACCCTCCACCCCGCTCCGACTCGAACACACCCCCACCCCCTTCAATTGCACCCCACAATTTGACTCCAAAGTCAAAATCAACTTGTGTGGTGCAATTGAAGGGGTGGGGGTGTGTTCGGGTCAGGGGCTTAGGTGTAGAAACCATCAATTTTACGAACGGGGCACCGGAGCGCCCCTTAATCATCTCATTACATTGGTTCCCAATGTCATGGAACCTTGGTGTAATTAAATTAAGTTCAAACCCAATTACCTAATTCATCAATCGTATCTTGGGCCTAGTAAGTTCAATTCACGATCAGTCGTATCTTAGGCCTATTCCAGTGGCGGATCCAGAAATTCTGGTAGATGGGGGCACAATTGATCGGGGAAGTGCTTTGATTTTTTTATTAAAAAAAGACAATTTGAAATGACAAAAATAATAAATTTTATTTTACACATTTATTGAAGGTAAAATTTTATTTAATCAGTAATGTAAAATTTTATTTTAAACAATAAAATAAACGCAATAAAATACACTTTACTTCAATAAGATTAAACAAAAAAATAAAAGTTAGCTTAATTAAATAAGGTTCCATTCATTTTTATAGGGAGTAAATAATGTGAGATTGGGTCAATCCCAATTTTAGATGGGGGCATGCACCTTAAAATATAATAATTTTTTGTTTTTAAAAAAATTATTAGTTTAACACCAAAATTTAGTTGGGGGCATTTGCCCCCAATTGTTTGGGAGTAGATCCGCCCCTGGCCTATTCTATATTTCTATGTGTCATTCGATACTTTAAACTATAAATATATGAATATCAAGATTATATTTTTTTCAATTCTCAATTTTTTACTATAATGTTTTTTCTCTATGAAAAATTACATTCCGATAAAGGAAAATAAAGGGCCAAAAAGTCATACTAATAAAGATGATGAAAATAATTTTTTTAAAATTTGTATTTCCTTTTTGTAACTATTCTTATTTAAAAACAAAAGTTTTATCCGCTATAAGCACTCCTTATTTCATAAATAAACTACTCCGTATTAAAGACTATGAGTACCGTGATGTGAATACATATAATATCTCATAACAAAATTTAAATCTTGATAGCTTTTTTTATATTCTCTGTAATATTTTAATTTTAAGGAAATTATAATTATTAAAAAGTTATGAAATACATTAAACCATAAAAATTTTCTTATTAAAAATTATCAAATATATTATTAAGACCCATAACGAACTAATTTTCTTAAATCAAACTTTCATCTTTAATTAGATGATATAAGATGAGCTATATTTTAGCTCAATACATTTCCATACACAAGAATAGATTAATATTTAAAAAAAACTATACTTTACTCAAAAGACGTTTAATATCATTTCGGTTTTTATGAAAAAGAAGACCGGGTTAATCATGATTAGTTTCTTTTTCATGAATAATTCATTTAGTTTTTTAAAAAACTTATATTTTTATTTCGTTTACATAATTTTCAATAAGTTTAAAAAACCATGATTTTTTAATATAAAATACATTGTTTAAACTCATCAAATTTTAAAAGTTATCATAAATATTTTTTCATAAATGTTAAATGAGAATTTGAAGCATGGCACGTAGGATGACACATGTACACATTTTAGAGACATGAGTCTCAAATATTATAGTAAAGAATGTTATTTTAGGTTCTAACTTTTAACTTTCAACAGTTTACAATTTCTTCGAATTTCTTACAACTCTTTCCATCTTCTTCTAGTTTTTTTGAACTTCTTGTTTTTCTAACATTTTCTTATTTGTTCTAAATCGATCTAATTTTTTCACACTTCTTACAATTTCTTCCAATTATTTCTAGTTTCTTCAATATACAACTATGCCTTTTACAACCCAAACGAACAGATCATATTCAAACACCATTATTACTTTTGATTACTATTCCATCCCTCATAAAAATAACTTTCCGTATCAGTTTACGAGATTTGATCAACTTTATTTTAAATTTAATTTACTTTATTATAGGTGCAAAATTTAAAAATAAAATGATACTCCCTCCATCTAAAAAAGACTCATGATTTCTATTCACATATGAAATTAACTCTATTTTTTATATATTTTCATCCATCATTTGATAAAATAACCTGGTCAAACTTGATTTGTAATACTTTTGATGTAGTTTTTAATATGTAATTTTTATTTTTAAATTTTACTATGTAGTTTCTGCTTATATTAATTTAAAAATAACTTCAGTTAAATATCATAAACCAAACATGGGCTTTATTTTAGGATAAATGGAGTACTTAAAAATTACATCAAAAGTTTCACAAAACTAGAAGTGACATTACTATATTATTTTATCAAATGACTAATAGAAATAAATTAAAAAAATGAATAAAGTTAAACCATATAAATAATAATTGGGAAGATAATTAATGATTGATGGAGTATTTTTTTAACGAAGTATCTATTGGAAAGCTATAGTAAGGATCACAACGGACGAGAAATATGAACAGCCCCGGAATAAAATAAAATAAAATCAAAATAAATCCAAATTTATAATTTATTCAAATTTAATTCCAATAAAAAAACTTTCGATCTTCAAAGGTCTTGCTTGAAAAACTTTATGCACTAGACTAAAGCTGCGAACTGGGACGTAGACCGTGTAAAAAAATCTACAAAATAGAACACTGTAGAAGAGCAGCGCAGTCGCCGGAGTTGTCCTTAAGGTAATAGTGCCTGCCTACCGTACTGGAGAACGTCGGCACTTTCCTCCCATATAAAACTACTATCGTGTGTGGTGATTGTACGGACCAACATCACACCTACGAATGAGAACGTCGTTCGAGTATTGCTGACTAAAAAAGTAGAGAGAATAGAAGACGACTATTGGGAAAAAACATAAACCACTTCCTCAAAAATGGAAGAATCTCTTTTATGAAGTAAAAAACTCTCCCTTGTTCTCTCTTTTCTTTTTCTCACTTATGAAAACACATTTCAAAGCGAGAGAATTTTTAACTCCTCTTTTAATAGGCTAGCATGGGACAAATTTGTAACTTGCACCATAAGATTAAAACACACTTATGATTGTCATTAGTGACTCTTATTAGAGTAATTTATATAAATAAGACTAAAACATAATGACTTTCTCAATATATGACCATATGTTTTTATTTCCCAATGTAGGACCATAGGTCATTATCTATTAGTCATTATTCAACTAAATGTCCAGCATCACTTGGATATTATTCTTCTGACTAGTCATTATTAAGTCCTATTTAGGGAATAAAAAAGTTTAAATCCTACGTTGGGAAATGACTTATGTTTTAGTCTTATTCACTGCAAATTTCACCTCTTATTAGTGGTGTGTTAATGATAGCCATTAACACATTCATTACACTATGATCTGTTTAAAATTTGTTTCGAATAATTGGAGATTAATGACAATTAACTCCGTAAAAATGGAAAAATTTTAAACATTGTGTAAAAGTAATAGAAGATTCGTTCAATAAAAATATGCATGTACATGCATCAATCATACTCTTCTATTTTAGCGGGTCAATTTTGAAATATCAATTTCACGTTCACCCTTCTATCATTTTTGGCATATAATATATCAACATTTTTATTGATGTCTTATTTTAAGAGAACACATGTCCATTAATTAACGGTTAAAATTGTTAGTGAACCTATTGATAATTATATCCAAAGTAGGTACGGTACATTTAATGCTTATTAAAATGTCAAAAATTCCAATAGTATCTTCTTGTTCTTATTTTTTGAACACTAATATCTCACATTTCAGTATAATACCTATTGGTACAATCTCAATTTATTAAGTAATTACCACCCTACTCAGATTTAAACTTGTGACGTTCTATATGGAAAAATTATCATGTTTCACCACAACAAAGTATTTGATTTTTTTTTTTTAGAACCAAGCAAGAGGGAAAAAATAAAATAGAGACAAGGTGGGGGAGATTTTACGGCCCAAAAGAAAGATTATCATCCACGTGACAACAAAACTAGCAAAACCTCGGAAGTTTCTCCAGACATCGTTGAACCCGAACTGTGATACTCCAAACAATATGGCCCCTTGGACCGCCGACAACCATGACTCCACATATTTGAAATTCCCCCCTACGTTGGAGCATTTTTATTCTTAAACTTTGATTTCTAATGAAAAAGTCAGTTATTCTAGACCTTACTATTGCCGATAGTATTGGTTTCTACAATATAAGGTACGGAACCTTATTCTTACGTCAATTGACTCAGGTTATAATTTAATTTACTTTCTGTCATCTAACTGTGCAATCAGTGCTGAGGGGCCTTCAGGCATGGAGGCTACCTTTTTTTTAGATAAGTTTATTAAATAACAAATTAACAATAGTTTATTTCCACTTATTGCATTAAAGTCAAATTGAGAGGAATATTCTTACAATTTTTCAATATTTTTATGCTTAACAAATTTAATAAATGAAGTAATTAATGAGAAATTGCATGTCTTTATGTTTTGTGAATTTAAGAAATGATCTAATTAACAAGAAAGTACAAAAGCCAAAATAAACGAGAAAAGTGCACCAGTTATCTCAAAATACTTCGAAAATTGTATAGTTTACTCTTGAGCATTAAAAAGCAAACCAAATACTTCTGAATTCTTCAGAAATTGTACGGTTTACTCTTAAACATTAAAAAAATGCACCTAATATTCTTGAGTTCTTCGAAAATTGCAC